GAAAAGAGCAGACGCGCAAATGAATAGTCCCACGATTTTCGGGAAATTGATTTAAAACTGATTTAGCAAAAGCTGAAGTCAAAAGCTGATGTCAAAAGCGACATTACAAAAGCTAGCTACGTTCCCATTGTCGGAGTTTCCATCGGCATTTTTAGAAAATCCGTCGCCCTGCGTTTCATCTTATTTCCTAAAATGCATTTTGTGCACTATGGCCTCTCTCCAAGATCTTTTATAACGCCAGCGTTTTTACTGCGTCACGGCGAAGCGCAGGCCAGCTCGATCCGGCGGCGAAATTACTTAAACTTTATTACACCATAACGCACCGCCGACGAACCACAAAAGTTTTAGATAAGCATCGGCTATATGCGACCGACCGTCCCGGAACATTTCCTCAACGATCAATCCCAAGAGAGACCTCGGGTGTATACCCGGTGTCCTCCTCGCGCGTCTGCAAGCTCGACGCCCTTATATTATATCAATTTTGCTTTCGAAATCTTTATAAATTATCCGACAGATAAAGACGTTCCCTTTTTTTTAACCCGAGAATGCCAGAGGCGATTTTTACTCCTCAATATTTAAAAAAATAAAGCTCACAGTAATTTTAATGAATTTAATGTGCTTCTTTCGTTTTTAAATATTTTTTTATTTCTCCTTACTTTTTTCACAAAATTTTTAATAAATTCATCACATATTGTCCTCAAATATTAATAAATTATGGAACCATCAAAAATATGCAATATGTAATTAATAACAGTGACTGATCACCCCAGGCGACCATTTATGCGAAAAAATCAAGCGCCTGTTTCCGAGTTAAAGCGGCAAGTCGCCGCGTTTGGAATCGATTCCAAGACGGTCTATACGTATCGCGAAGATTACAGATCTCGTTATACGAGAGTACCCCGCGATCGCTTACGGCAACCCCGATCGTCGTCGTCGATCCCCTGGCGTCACTGTGGGTGGCACACGGGCGGTTCTTCCGAGATATGCGTCGCCCGTATCCCGGAACGCGCGTGTCGCGGAAGCCAGAAGCGACGAAACGCGTTCGCGTCGGGTGGGACGCGGTTTATTATCATTTTATTCGCGGGTGCCCCGCGCGCGCGAGACGCGCCGCGTTATAACCCGCCGCCGCCGCCACCGCCGCCTTCCTTCATCCCCCCTCTCCTCCCTCCTGTTCCCACCGTCGCCATTCCCGCGGCGCGGAGCGGCGCGCCCCCGGGGTCGTAATCCCCCTTTTCCAAGGTTCTTAAACCGGGGCCGCTCGCATGGAGGGCCGAGACCCCGACTGCGGGTCGCTCTCTCGCGCGCGACACGGGGAACGTTAAAATTTAAGGTTTCCGTCGACACGTCGCGACTCATAAATTTCCGCGCTCGAATCCGACGCGGGTTTTTTCCTACCTTCTTATCGTCGCCGCTGCCGCCGCCGCCGCCGCCATGTCCCCCGTCGCGATCCTTCCTCTCGTTCCACCGTTTTCGCCACCGCCTCCGCCACCGCTGTCGCGCAGACCGACGTTTCCTCGCTCGACGCGCATCGGGCGCATCTTCGCCGCGAAAAAGCGCCATTCTCGTCCTCGAAGGGCTCGAAGTTGTCTCTCGTCCGAAACTTGGCGCACTTCTCCGACGCGCGACGAGTGCATTTGAACCACTGACTTCGCGTAACGAGCGATACCCGATACCGCCCCCTGGGGGATAATGAGATCAAAAAAGCGATCAGAGACCGTCGATGTGATTGGAGTAACTTGTCACGTATAAGATACATGTTGGTTCGCCGAATATATGTATATATAAATACAGGCTTTAATTTACTTTTCGCAGACAATCGACCGCTCGACGGTTTTTCAAAGCGGAAAATCCGGAATTGAATTTCGAAACGCGGTGAATTTCGTGCCGCTCGTCGTCTCGACGCCCTCCTCAAATTCGAAGCTTTGAACTCGATCGGAGTTTGAAATTTGTACATACCCGCGTCTATATACGTTCGGAGCATACCCGCGAGTCACGTAGCCGTGATATCGGCTTTCGGGAGGAGGGAGGGGGGGGAGGAAATGCCGCGCGCGGAGTTTTTGTCGAACTCCGGCTTTTCCGCGGTTAAAACAATTCTCCTACCTGCCGAAGAAAGCCCGTACAAAGGAATTCTTTGCAGGACAAAGAACCTGCTTTTTCCGACAGCGGGGACATTTTCCCCTTTCTCGAGCAAGCATGCAGACTTCGAGGCGGCAGGGGATGATTTTCTCGTTGCTCTTCCGTTCTGTCGCTTTGAGCCGATGTCGTGACATATAGCGTTCGGAAAATGTATTCTCTCGACACGAGAAGCAGATATCTGCAAAATTTGCCGAACCAAACCAAAACCGGAGCCGTCGCGTCGCGAGCCGCACCGTGGCGGATGTTCGGTCATGCAAGCGCGATAGGTGTTGCCACCTGCCGGCGACGGATTACATCGCTAGGCCGGGACATTTATCGGTAATTTGCGCCACGACGAAAGGAACGTTAATTTGAATATTTAATCAGAACGATGATGCGTATTTACTGCTTCGTGAAATTTTTATAAAATTTAAATACCGAGGGAGGACCGTTTAAAAACCAATAGCTAATCCCTGGGAGAATTACAATCCTAGCAATATATATACATATAATATGATTTATATGAGACAGATTTCGCGACAGTATCATAATAACCAGAAATATAATATAAAAATGTATTATAGACAATATTATAGAAGTTTAATTATATACGTCTATATAATTAATATTATAGAAATATATACACAGAGGAACATAAGGAACGTTTATGTTAAAAAGAGTTAAGAAAGGACGATCATAAAGAGAATGTTTCATATGTATACTGTCAACGGTTTATTTCGTTTCTTTTTATTTCGCTAAGTTATCGGAATGTTAAATAAAATACTTGTCTCACATATAGAACTCTGCGCGAAAACTCAAAGTTCGTCGATTTTTACAGGTAACGGATATACGCACTGAAGAGTGGTGTGAAAAATTGTTCCGACGAATTGTCTCGAAATTTCTCGCATTTTCGATCCTCGCTCGCGAACTTGCGTGAAACAACATACAACAGTCTCGTACATATAGCCGATAACGCAATCGTTGCTCCTGTTTATATAGGAATTCGATAATCTCAGAATGATTTCGGAGCTCGAGCGCGCATGCGAAAACCTCCTCCTCGAAACCGTTTCTCTCTTTTTTTTTTTCTAGCCACGAATCTGAACAATCTTCTCGCATCGTGCTAAATTTTCCGATATTTGCGGCGATAGCATCAATATTAATTAGACGAGTATTGCATTAAATAGAGAGACCCAAAATATCGCGCGCGATGAGACGACCGTTGAGACAATGTTTATAAAATCGGATCCGCCACGTTCGTGTAAAAAAATAATTCCTAATTTGGTTGCCAAGTCGAAAGTTGCGTGTGAAAAATTACCGCGGGGCTCTATGCGAAATTAGGCCAACAATAATTACAAGAATATCTTTCCCTTTACAAAATTATGTCGTCAGTTAGATATTAGAGTTTCTCTCTACGATATCTATAAAAAAATATCTGCTCGAGAGACTATCGGATCAGTAAACGAATCGATTTACAGAAGAGAGAGAGAGGGAATAAAAATATTAACGATCAAAGATTATACAGGGCGCCCCATCATTACGGCCTTAATCACCTATTACGAATTAACGAGCCGCTAATGACCCGGGCATCCTGTATATCAAATCTATCGATGGTCGTGTCGGCTATCAAAAATTTACAGGGGCTATAAAAATAACGTTTACTCGTTCCAGATATCTCTTTGTAGGTCTTAACGCGATCTTTGTGCCCGCTATGTGTTAAAGAGTTACGATAGCAAAACGTACACATCACTACCAAGCAACAATATGATAGCGAGTAATGTTAATACTGTCATCCCCGCGACACGTTACAATAAACATCCGTTTTTCTCGTCGCTCTCGCATCGTCGGAAGACCCAGGCGATCCGTGACAAATTGATTATGCATATTTTCAAACCGACATATATTCCCTTGATTCATCCGATCGCTTCTACTATTCGCGTTCGCAACCGGCATGGCCGCGGCGGTCCAAACATCCGCGGCTATCTCCTCCTCGTCCGACGTTTAATTCAGAAACAGGCGCCTAGAGTGATTTTTACCCCAGTAAAAAATTATTAAGTATTTTTTTTGTTTCTCCTTTTTTCAGAAAATACTGAGTAAATCTCTACATACATATTGTCCTCAAATATTAATAAATTATGGAAAAATAAAAAATAAAAGCTCACATCACAGTAATTTTAATGTACTTCCTTCGTTTTTTCATTTTCTTGTATTTTTCCTTACTTCTTTTCGAAAATATTAAATAAATCTATATACTGTCCTCAAATACTAATAAATTATAGACCAATAAAAAGTATACAATATGTAATTAATAACAATGACTTTTAATCACCCCAGGTGACTATTTATGTGAGAAGAAAATCAAACGCCCGTTCCTAAATTAATTAGACCGTCGAACGCTGTACATGATCGTCACATCGCAGAATCGGGATCGGACGGCCGCGTATTGCCGACATGAGAACGCGAATACTTTCCTCTTCCGCGACGCAATCTCGCAATCTTTACGAAACGCTCTATCCTAGGTCGCTAATTTGCTCTCATCACCTAATGACAAGCCGTGAATAATTCTCTTAGGCTAGCTTCTACCGTGTACATACAGCAAGCCGTACAATTATTGCACATAACGTCCGTCTATACGACGAACACGCGTTTAGTGATAGTTTGAAAATTTTTTCTACGCTGATAAACGCTTTGCGATATCGTTGAGTAACATTTAGCAATAATATTCCCTCTACATGTCACATACACGAGGAGAAATAAAGGGGTTGTTTGATTGGGCTCCTTTCGTGCATCCAATTGCAGTCTTTTGGTGTAAAAAAAAAAAGAACGATCACAAGGCTAATCGTAAAACGTGTTGTCAATGCAAACAATTTGAGAATGCCATTATTATATAAGTAATAAACGTTTATTTTCAAAACAATATATTAATCAACGTATAATTGCATCTGAGAGAAACTTATTTTCTGCTAAAGAAAAATGGTCATATTACTTGGCATGCAACTTCCATCTAACGTGAAATGATCTGAGTTGCTAATGGGATAAAAAAACGTGTGACGAAATTATAAGTATTAAAATGGTTGCTTGGAGCTGCATATAAGCACGTAATTTCGTCTAAACGTCTTAAATTATGGTCGACATGCGATTTATAAAAAAAGAAAAAAAAAGAACGGCAATATATCGTATTTCTCGGAATAGAGAGAATATAAGAAGGAAAAGCTAGTCGCATACTTATGTCGCAAGTATAAAACTTATTGTTACTCAAATATCTCGATCGATGTGTGTTCTGAAAATTACAAATATTTGAATATATACAAACTTATATACAAATTATTTGTTCTTTTTATACACGCGATATTTACTACTCTGCCATCGTTTATATCCTCGTTAAAAAAGAAGCGCAATAACGTCAATAGAAATATATATAGAAAAGAGAAATACATAAATATAATTCACAATTTTAATATACACATAATCTCTTCTTATCGGAGTATATATGCCGAAAAACAGTCACGCCGACGTAACGAAGATATAAACGTCGCATGTATATGTATATATTTATATGCACGTATGTATACATACATATATAATATATCAATGATCTGTACATATACAGCAGTATTACAAACGTATACAATATCTTACACTGTGATGTACATCTGTATGCCCTGAAACAATATAACACCATTTTTACATTCTCTATTCTACAAGAATTGAGTCTACATGATGTGTTCGCAATTTTTAAGGGAAACGTACATGATCGTGTAGTCTCAGGGGCAACGTATTTTGCACCAACTTACAAAGTCAAAATGTTTAAAATTCTACTTCGTACTTCGTACTTTTGACGACTTTTGATTCTGTAGTCGTGTGTGATTTGTAGTTTGCAAAATCGACGTATTCACAGTGCCGCTTTTTTTCGAGCACACTAGTAATATCGTACTTATCAAAATCCCGGCTTTATAAGTATTTTGGATGGAATGGCTTTTGTCGGGGAGCCGCGTTTCCATCGCCTAAGCTCCCACGTTCGAAAACCGCGTGGCAAGATCTCCTAGGAATGTAATAGAATCCTTACGGCTAATTAACGTTATTACGACCTAAAAATTCGTACAAATCAGCAAATAAAATTCGTTAATACTGAGTGTCGCGTTATCATTACTTTCTTCAGCAAGACAACATTTTGATTTTTATATTTAACGGAAACGTCTCCAGTCCGAGGTTCTGCGTCAGCCTTGCACATTTGCACATATAATCAATTTAAAAAAATTTTAATTCGATTTCAACAACATAAAAAATATCGTTCCTTTTCAGGAAATTTTTCGAAACAAATATTGTACTCACAAAATATTGCGCTCATTAAAGTCAACATACGAATTCATTCTTTCCTCGCTTAATGCACTAAAGATAATGGACGAAGTAAATTCTGGCTAAAAAGTTAATACTGCAAACTAAGCACGTTATACATGTGTCCGGACCTTACTGAATAAAGTTTATGAATTATGAATAAAGAGATCAAATTAGTAGCAAATGAGATTCATTCATTGTCGGGGGGGATTACGCACGTTATCTCGACATAAACTGTTATTCTCTTACCGCCGTGCGCGCATTTTGATTTATAAAGCAGTGCTTTCTAACGGTGACGTCGGACGATTAGGCGTGCAGCATCTTTCAGGTGTATGGCACAAGTCCGGCGTGTGCCGACCATCCCGCATCTGCGCGAAATCGACGTCCGCGAAGAAGTCGCTCTTCATAGTGCCGAGTGCGCTGTCGGTGCCGAAACTGTCCTGCCTGCAGATATTGATACCCTTGTAGCATCCATTGTACTCGGCCAGACTGTTCGGCGTCGCCTTCAAATCGCTGCCATAAATAGACGAAGTCATCATCGGGCTTTTCGAACCGTTGCCGATCGATCTGGTTCCAACAACCTCGTCACTACTATTTTGTTTGTTATGTATACTGAAGAGTTCGTCTTGCTTCGAAATGCTGGAGTTGGAATAAAGACTGTCTGTATGATACAAGCCTTTTTGCTTTCCAAAGGAATGATCCTCGCGAAAGTCATCTTTTGTGTAGGTATTGAACGGCGAGTAATCTTTGTATTTAGACGTGCAATCTAATACTGTTAGGCTTCCCTGTCTCGACAAAATACTGCCGACATCGGATACGTTGCTCTCCTGTCTGGACAGTCTATCTTTAACGTCCTTCTCGTTTCCCACGACGTTCTCTTGGCTCGGTGGGACCTTCGATTCTACGGATTTCTGCAGAAGCGAGACGCCATCGACTTTGTCTTTGACTTTGTCTTTGACAGTCTCTTTATTGGAAAACGCGTTCTTCGTTGTCTCCTTGGTCGGCGATATTTTCGTCCTTCGCAGATACGATCCAGTAGAGGGTTTCGTGTTTTCACCGACTACTCTCTTCGGATCCATATCACCGCAATTTGCCGCATTATTAATCGCTTTATTTTCCTTCTCAACAGCACCGAGAGATTTGCCGATTTGCTTCAGATAAGAACCGACGGAGCCCGCGGCGTCCGGTATCTTAAATTTGCTCTCCGACTTTGTCTTATGACTTGTATCATTACACTTCTCCGCTGATTTGTGTTTCAGGCTGTTGATCTTGTACGAGCCTTTGCTATCGATTATATATTCCGAAGCGTCGGATACTACACACGGACTCGCGCTTCCTACGTACTTTATTTTCTCTACAGTGGGTGCTCGGATCAGATTGTGCTCATTCGCGTCGATCTGCCTCGGATACGTTTCCTGCTTCGAGTAAGCGTATGTATTTGGAATGTCAGGAGACACATCTTTCGACTTGATATTATTATTCCTCAGATATCGTCCACTGAAACCGCTGGAATCGGGTGAGATCACGATGTCAGGCTTCTCCTTGTCGGATATAAAGTCTTTTGATTTGGAATTTTGCCTCGAGTAGTGTCCTACATTGCCCGAGCTGTCGTTGCTCTTCTGCCTCGTATATCTGTTGCGCGGACTCACAACTTCAGACACGTGAAGCGTGTTACTTGACAAAGGTTCTATCTCGCGTTCTAGAGTACTATCGTTGCAGCAATTGGATCGCTTTTTCTCTTGGTGCACCTGACCTTCCTTGATGGGTTTTAATTGCGGTGCCAGAGTTTCCGGAGTCGTGGATTCGCTGCTGCTCGGGCTCGGTCCTTTGTAATTCTTGATGTCGAAGTCCAGATCTGCTGGCAATTCGGCACCTACCGACAAATGCATCGCCAATCCTTCTAGCCAGACCTCCATAACTTCGAAGGGTGGCCTCTTATCGGGATTCAGGTCGCAACAAAGAAACGCGATTGTGTAAAAGGTCTCCGGGCAATTAGAACAGAATTTTTCCTTAAAGACATTTTGATTCAAACCAAAATCCGAGGATCTCGGTAAATAATCAGGATCTGCCTGAACTCGACCTATGATCTCGCAGACAACAATGCCGAAGCTAAATATGTCTACTTTCTCGTCGTATTTGTTGCCTTTCATCATCTCGGGGGCCATCCAGTAGGGATTTCCGACAACTGTATATCGTTTCTTCCGTTCCTTCTTCGAAGTCTTCACCTCTCCGTCGGAATGTCGATTGCACTTGCGATTATCCGGCGAGCTGCCGTTCTGAATGATCCTCGCCAGACCAAAATCAGCGACGACAACAGTCTTATCCTCGCGAACGAGACAATTGTGCGAATTCAAGTCGCGATGAATGATGTTCATAGAATGCAAGTAAGCCATGCCGGCAGCGATGTCTTTCGCGAAAGACGTACGCTGTTCCCACGGCAATGGTTCGTTCGTGTCGTGAAGCAGGGCCCTTAACGTACCACCTGCTATGTATTCGGTAACCAAATGCAGCTTCTTGTCCTTATAAAGAACACCGATAAATCGAAGAACGTTGTTATGGTGTAATGACCGCAGTACCGCAACCTATTGAATTGTTATCAAAGGGAAGAATGTATAAGATCACTCAAACCTAACAACTATTTAACACTAAAATGCCCAGAGATGCCAAATCTGAGCATTCCAGCATTAAATTGTTCACGTGTTAAACGTATTCGCATGTTTGCGTATGTTAATCTTGCAAAATTTACATTTAAAAAATTACCTCTTTTAGGAAGTTCTTTTGTGCGTCCTCGTCCACTCTATACAATTCCTTGAGAACCATCACCTCGTTCGTATCACGATGCGTGACTTTGAATACTTGTCCAAAGAATCCTTTGCCCAGAAGTTCACCCTTCACCAGATCGCTCGCTCGAAATATTCTTTGATTCTTTGGCTCTACACGGAAGGATCTGGTGCGGCTTAAATCGTAAGTAGGATTCGTTGGAGAAGATCTGCAATAAATGTTCGATTTAGTGAATCGTCGTAATTTATTAAACGATTGCTTAACATATTCTGTATTCATCGTCCTACCCGTCAAGCAATCGCGACATAGAACTGCTGCGTTCTTTATGCATAGGATCTCTCGTTCTTCGTAATTGTCGGCTCCTCGCACCGCTGATGTAACCCTCGTCCCGGCGTTTAAATAATCGCTCTTTGCTCTCTGGACTTGTCCTGGGGCTGCCGACACATGTCAGCATCGCCGAGGACGGTGAGGAGAACGTGGGCCGTCGTGATACCGCATCTGGATCGTGCTCGATAGTCAACTAAAACGCCAAACATATTTTCCGTTGAATTTAACCGCAAACCATGCCAATAAAACAATAAGTATGTCTCGAAGATCCTTCGGCTTACTTGTAAAACTGTGTCCGAGTATTGTATAAGATTTTCGATACTTTCCACCGGCTGGTCTTTAACGGGGGTACCATTTACTTCCAAGATTCGATCGCCAATGTGTAATGATATAAGATCACTCGACATATTCAATCTGCAACATTTATTTTACGAATATTTTTATTGTCGCTATCTTAAGTCGCAATAAAAAGACATGCAAACATTTGCATGCATTATACTTCCCTCCACTGTAATACAATCATATAAAAAGACAATTTAAAATAATAACTGCCAGGATGATGAGATAACTTCAAACATCAATAATAAACATGATAAACGAATATTACAAAATTATCAAAAGTTCTTTACATGAAGTATAAGGACATAACTAAATTTTTTTAATCACAATTATTTTGTTACAAAAATTTATCGAGAAGCATAAAAAGGCAATAAAATATAGTATTCGAAAATAATATCACGTTAATTAAATTATTTGTTTGCAGTTAAATCACAAAATAGCTCACACCAAATCCATTATATGTTTAAAAGATGATGTGCGTGAAAGCAGTTAACGCTTGCGATCCTTTAACAATTATCTAAGTTTATTCTAACTACATGAACTGTCATTTTTTGGTAAGCTACATTGAACATGCACGTGAGAAAAAAAACGATGATTAAAATATCTAATGTCAAAAAAGATTAAAATTACTGTTACATAAAATTGCTATTACATACACATATTATGGAAATTTGCATAAAAGTATTTTATGCATTTTCACGTGCAATTAACATAACTATTAAAATGGGAGCACAGTCTGTAGAGTTAGCAATATGTAGTGCATATTATTGATTTGTTATGCAATACCTATGATTAGAGAAGTGGCAGCATAGCCTAAATAGAACCTCCATCACAGAGGCTAGCAGCTTACTGATCTTTCCACGAATATTTCTCATTAACCTGCGTTTTATTAAGTTAAATGTTATTAGAGGCTAATTTATACCAACTCTCTTAAATATATAGGACTATCATGCGCTGTTAAATATTTAAAAAAGCAACTGTCTTAGATATATATTCCTGAAGAGTAAAAAGATCGAAATGCTCTACTTTCATCATAATGAACAATCATCGCTTATATACATAAAAAAATTTCAAACTGGTTCCAAAAAATTTCGTTCACGTGTAAACGCATTCTTGTAATTTAAAGATAACATACATAATAAAATATTTTTAAGTACACAAAATATACTATCATACATACTCTGAAATGCGCAATAAAGCACCACAACTGCGGGGACTGGGAGCTGTGTCTAGCGTGAGCTTAATTCCTCTTTGCTTATCCGGGTCTGTCGTGCTGGGAGGTATCTCGACCAACCTAATGCTGTGTGGTTTTCTGGCGAAAGGGTAATTCGCCGCCCTGTTGAGCGGCTGCATCTGCCGCTTGTAACAAACCCCGCAGTACAACTTGGACCGTTCGACAAGCGCGTAACTCTCGCCGTCTCCGATGAAAGCACCGCACGAGGTACAGGCAAAACATTCCGGATGAAATTTGTGATCGCCCGCCAGCATGACGGGGCCTGTGATGATATGGCCACAGTCCTGACACGCCTCGCCGTAAGCGGCCCAATAATCGTCCTTACAAAATAGCAAGCCATCTTTCTCGAAGTACCAGGAGGATAGGCCGATGTCACACGCCGAACAACTAAAAGGTATTATTTTTTCTTAATACAAAAATACAATACAATCAGTTTCACGACGCACTCTTCAAACATATGTTAGCATTTTTACCGAAAGCAATCAATATGCCATTCTTGATTCAACGCCTGTATAAATTCATCTTCGATAGCGTTGAGACAGCCGGCGCATATTAACGTTCCTCTATTTTCCCCACCTCCTGGGTCTGGAAAATAATAATTACAAATGATAAACAAGTGTGGATGCGGTCAAGCAGAATTTATAAATAAACTAATCTAGATTTTTTTTACTAAATACAGTACAGTATTACATATTGCATTAAAAAATAATCGTCTCTTTAAAATTGCAGCAAGAAATACAACTTAAAAAAAAAAAATTATTATATCAGCACGTCGACATTTGTTGTGATTCTACGTTTTTCGCGATTATACCAAACATTATGCACTCATGCGCAAAAATGTCCTTTGCGAGTGTAAGCGTATATCGACCGACAAATGCACGCATGTGATCATCCTAAACGAAAAGACAGGCGGGCCCGAGGGACGTGTGTCGGGGAAGGAAGCGTGAATCACGGTTGACATCGGCTGTCGGGCGAGTGAGCGCGAGCAGCTGACGGCGTAGTCGAGGCATCGGAGTATCGGAGCGCGACGCGAGACGCCGCGGACGAGGACCGTCGCGGGTTCGTCGCGAGGGAGTATGTAACATGTAACGCGATGGAACGCACGAATAAACTTATTAATGCGGGAGCGTGGGCAACGGGAAGAATGACAGGGGAAGAGAGGGAGAGAATGAGAGAGAGAATGAGACACACACACGGAAGGTAGGACGCCCACGCGACGCGCGAGGCGTAGAGCGTCGAGGTTCCGTCGACGCGGGGCGTCGCGCGAACGGCGAACCGTCGTCGCGACGCCCGTGTAAATTGTCGCGAGCGTCGCGCGGCCCGGCTCGCGATGTCACGGCGCCGTTTATTCGCCGCGAGAGGGAAACCTACCGCTCGTCGTGATTTCGTCCATCACGGCACGCACGATTGACACACTCCCACTCCGCTGCCATCCGCTCGGCCACTGACGGTCACTGGGCGCGGGACTCGCGATAGACTCGAACCGCGACGCTCGCGATTCGAATCGCGATCGAAGCGACGCGCGTGCGCGACACGGCCGCGTTGGGAACCCTCGATGGCGCCCGTTCGACGGCCATGAGATTGAAAAGAGGCGACAACGAAATTTTGAAGTTTGACTTTAGATAACTTTTTTCAGAGCGGATACATGATACATCCAGTATTAAAAAATTCCATATTTTAAGAAAATAGTAAAATGCTCGTTAAGGCATTGACATAATCTCTCACGATGCAAATTTCTGTCGTATATGTCACATTTAATTCCTTTAGAGTGACTTATATTCGACCTATAACTCTGATTAATTCGATAGAGTTATTTAAATCAAAAATTCTAATTATATAATTTGCATTATTTCTAAAATTTAATTTTTCCGAATTTAATTTATTTAATCTTTATTTCTAATTTGATCTATTTCATCTTTTCTCATATGTTATATAAGCATAAAGCATAAAGATAATTAATATTTTATCCACGCTGACGAAATAGTAGAAATATTACTATAGTTATCGTCAATTTAATCATCGATTAAATTAATTAGAGTTTAATCGAAGTTATTTAAATTAATACGATATTAGAATTCAAGGAGGTATTTACAGGCCGATTTTATATTTAAGATATCGTCTTATAAATATAAATTAAATGCGATATCGAAATTTATATATCTTATCATGCTTGGAAATCTTGATGTTATTTAAGACGTCCTTAAAATTAAGATATCGGTTAAGATTATAATAATTATTTGATTTCTGCCGACAATTTGCTATCAGATTATATACCGGCAGGCTTTGTCGGTAAAACACGTACGGGTTTAATACGGACACAGATATGATACCAGATCAGTTCTTCTGTAATTGCAATATCAGATTTTGGTATAAAGCTCATAAAGCCCCTTGCACAATAGGCGAAGTCGGCAACCTTGTCACTGTCGCTATCGCTATATCGCTATCGCCTATTGTACAAGGGGCTTTAGGATCACGCACTTTAGTTCAATTGTCGGCCACTTGGTGTTTATCGCCTTTTATCTTTGCGATTGTTTAAGTTAATTACAACAATTACGCGTTACACTTAAGTATATTAGAATTTATAATAATCTTGTAAAAATCTTGCAAAATAATTGCATAACAATTCTTCAATGTTAATTAAAATTTATTATTAAGTTTAATTTCACTATTAGCCCCATTTCGGAAAAATTAATAATCCAAATGTTCTCGATAGCGATTGCTTTTATTATGATTCTTATATAAGGATAGGGCATAATGGATACTTCGGATCCTAGGCAGTGTTCATAATTTGATCGCTTGTACTCAAGATCGTTCTTATACAGCTCGAAATGCTGTAAAGGGTCATTTTATTTGCATGGGGATACGTCCATGGAGTCTTAAGTAGACTGCACAGACATCCGGAAGGTCTTGAATACACGATCAGGCTGTGAATATAATTGTTTCTGAGGATCTCTTTGTCTGATACTGATCAGGAAAGCACTTTTACCTTTACCTACATTCCCATATAATAATTAAATGTAGAAAAACAGAGCAACCTATGCATGATGAATTGCTAGGTACAAATTACTATAGGTACTATACTTATTAATAATAATTAAGTTATTATTAACCACTTACTATGAATTAGGAAACTATTCGAATTCGAGTTATTTAGCGCTTCGAATGTTTCGAAGAGTTTGACCAATGGGATCCAGGATTCAAATCTTCGAAACACTTCCAAATAAACAGTAAATAAACACGTGTCAGTTTGTGATTCTTAAATAAAAGCACAGATTGACACCTCGAATTTCAATAAAAAAAAAGTTGATCAACCTTAACACACTCCAATATACATACGATCTTGTCTTGCGATTGATTTTCATCCTGGTTGAAACGATTATGTATCGATCACAATAATTGCATAGAGACATTGTGAGAGAGAAAATCGATCACAATTCTACTGTTAACATCGAGCAATTGTGCATTGATCTCAATTGTATTTGATCTTGGTTGTCAATCACAATGCTGCCTATTCCCGTACAGCAGACCAAATAAATTTGTGTTTGCTTCATATATACACACTGTGCAGAAAGAAATTGAATGACTGAACAGTTTCCTTGTTCCAGCACAACCTAGTCTTCCATATAGTCTTCCATTTAGTCCTAAATCTAGTCTAATTAATTTAGGTTTAGGATTAAAAGCGTCGGGAGTGCTGGTTAGATTTAGGTGCTTCAAGTATATTGCGCATGTACTCACTGAACCATAGTAACTTCGACAATTTTTTTTTTTACAAAAGCTATCTTTAATTTTTTAACATATTAGGTACAATAAATAGGAAACATTCTAATCAATTTAAGAAATTGGCGAATTTTTTCTTACCTCTTACAAATTTGGTAAAATTTTAATTAGAGGGTGAATTGAAGCATTGTCCAGACGTTAACGTCACATTTCTAATTTTAATTCCCACGTCGCATGTTAGGATCTCCATGACAAAGCAACCAATGTAATTGTAAAGATATATAAGACCGATGTAGGAATGTTAAAAAGAATTTTCAGAATTACATATGTTGACAGATTTACATGTTGACAGAATATGTTGTTTAATTTAGAAAATATAATTATAAAAATGGCATGATAAAGGCGATAGAGATCCAGTGTGTAGCATGTATATAGCATGATTCTTATGCGCGGTTAAATATGCGCAGATGATACATTAGTTGCAACGAATTTAATCGAACATAATCTTATATATTTCTTAATTTTAATCTATAGAGATTAAATCTACCTGAAAATCTACACGATTATTTCATTAGCTAGGTAAACAAGATACAGAACGATATTAAAATACAAGACTGGAATACTGCAAATATTATTCTACATATGAAAATTTATTGATATAATAAAATAAAAAATAACAATTTTATTTCTGCTACAAATTTATCTACTTTTGAGCATATAGTATTTCGAAGTAACTATTATAACTAAGAGATACAGACAAAAATATTCGTACATTATTCTACATTATCCTACTTAGAGATGTACATACTTTCCTCACAACGGACTAGACTACGTAAAACTCGGTACATCTATAGCAAATAAAAAATGAAATACTGTAAATTATATGGCACACTTGCGAAACATAAATGTACTACGCAAAATACTATACGTTTTACTACCACCTTCGAACATATATTATCAGTTACACATATATCGCTCTCGATAACAATAGCGAGAGAAAGAGATTGACATGTCATGTTGTCATTTGTCACTTCATAAAAAATAATTCTTCCGTAATATTTCTACAAAGCTTTTCTATTCTATTTCACAAAAGAAATTCTATTCCACAAAAATGCTTAATCAGCGTCTAAATACCCTTTTTTCTTGACCAAATTTGCTGGAATCAAGCTGTAATCGTAGGGATAAAAAAAATATATATATACAGAGAAAGAGTTGTACCGTCCGTTATATAGGTAACTCCGAATAACATTTGCAGTCGCGAAAGATATCTGATGTAACTATTAAAGCTGCGGTCCATTTGATGTTACAAATGCTTCAAAGCATTCTTTTTCTCTTTTCTTTCGATGAAGAAAGAAGAATAAAAAGAACGCTTCGAAGCACTTGTAACGTCAGATGGACCGCAGCTTAAATTTTTAATTTCTGAAACGGTACGTATATTCGATACATTGGCGCGCGACAGCGAGGACGGTAATTTGATATGAAATAAATTATATAATCGATATGCCGCATAATCCTGGTCATCAGCCCTTTTCCGGTTTCTCCAAGGGCTGCCTTTCTCTCCGAGATTTTAAATTTCATTTGTTCATATTCAGAGGCATCATAGGCACGTACTTGTCGCTGGGTCGGAACTTGTATTGCGAGCACAATCGATCGGACACAGCCTCCGCGTAGCCATTCCTGAAATAAATATCGTCGATCAATATTCCGTCAGATTTCATCGACGTCACCAGCAGCTTGTAAAATTAAAAGCCTTCGCCAGAGCATTAGAACTGACAATAATTTAGCGGAGTAAAGGACCTTTCACCACGACATTGACATTGATTAGATAAAAGCTGAGAAGAGAGAGATAATCACGATGCGCGAGACCGTCACCAAAAGTCACGTGTAAAGTGCCGGAAAAAATTTTTTTAACGTTTACGGTGAGATCCTTTTTTTATATATATCTCGAGATATCTTCAAACAAATGGCGTGACATCTCGAGGAAGGTTTCTCCGTCTGGCCATAAAATCCCTGAATGCGAGGAAGACAGTCGTCAACAGCAGTCTTCGAAATCCTCTACTCTCCGATAAACCGTTTGGCAAGTAACTCGAAGGGGACTTCTCCCATTGTAAATCGCAGCTAAAACGATTTCACGATATAACGGCAAGATCATCATATTTTTTAAATTGACAATAACGATGAGATAACATCTCTCTAGTCTCGCGCGACAAAATATTTTAATTATATAAATATATAAAGCTGCCTTTTTATTATACAAATATGTATAATAAATATGTCGAAGTAAGTCAAATTTGTAAGTTCTCGACTTTACTTTTGTATATATATAGAATACCTTTGCCACTGCGAGCACGGTCGTCTCTCTTTGAAGCAGGTGACCTGGATCACATTGAAGAAAAGCGCGCCGAGGGTATTGGCCACCTCGGTATTGAGATTCTGTAAACATCTGCGGAATTTGGCGTCGCAATCGCAATGCGAGCGAGTAAATGGTGAGTTATTGCATATGCCGTGTATGCATTGTTGCGGCGCTATCGTGTATGGGCAGTGGTCGTGTTCCCTGCAGCAAGCATCCTCGGCCGAATGTTGGCCCAAATTGTCGTAGGCATTGGCCACGTTGCCTGGTCCACACCACTTGGTACCCGGATATATTAAACCACTGCCGGGCGCTTGATTCTGAAAGAAGGAATTGTAGTTGTAAAAATTATCTTTCAGGAGAAAAAACTTCAGGAGGAAGCCTTTTAAAAGGAATTAACCCTTATCGAATACAGTAATAAATATTTTAAGAAAATAATTAATAAGCAACTATTATTGGTATTAAAATATAAAAAAATATCTTAATTCAAATATATATAATATTTATTAAAATAACAATTAAAAAATCTTAATTATTATAATAATTAAGATATATTTAAATAGTTAATTTGAATATATCTTGATTTTTTTGCGTGCTAAGATATTCCCTCGATTTATCTTTTAACAATAAAACTTTTAACATGAAATTAATTTTACTACCACACCAGGTAATAATTTAGAACACTTTATTCTTAGAGACAATCGATGATTCGAGCTTACCTTTCCCTTATTTCGCGAAGCCTTGCAGGTCTCTTCCAGGTCGGCGACGAGATTGCTGGAGATTTGTCGAACTTTTCTGGGATCCGCGCCGAGAACCATCCTCTGGATTACCCCGCGGTCGTTGTAAAGAGCGCAGAAAGGTGCATCGGCATTCAGCTCCACCATCCTGGACATAGTAGTGTCGGCGACCAGCACGCTGCTTGCTTCAATCCTTTCGGCCCAGAGGATCGGCAGAATGCCGAGCAGGACAGCGAACATCTGCGAAGATATACGAGACAGTGAGAAACCACTAGATTGAACCACTTAAAACGAATCGTCAGAAGTAACTGCAGGCGATGTTTCGGCAGAAGTTTTATCAGGCACCGCCAAACAAGGAGTATACATGAAAGTCAGCCGACCTTCGTCTGGAGTGTCCGCCGGGAATCTCGACTCGCGAGGTGCAGGCTTTCAAGAAAAAAAAAGAGACCTATTCGTGTACCGAAACGTCCAAGCAAAATTAATGCTTGACCGCAATTTTATAAATGGCACTCCTCGTTAAGGCTAGTATTGATTCAATCTTTTCGTAACTATAGAACGAAAATATTATCGTTTTACAATGTAGCACAACTTTGATTACGTAATGTATCATTAACATATCTGTACAACTTTTCGATTAAGCAACCGTTTTACGATTTTGTTTAGGTATTCGGCGAGAATTTATAGTAGCTCTTTTCGTGGTGAAAGACTTGACAACTAAGTGTGAATCGCTCACTTATCATTTTGCTATTTAATATTGCGGAATATCAATCTGTAAAGTAGACGAAGGTATCACACTCCGCGTATGTATCTTCACGTATCATTCATCTGAGCACGTGAGAGAATGGGTGCCGACGGATGACAAAGTCCTCATCTTTCAGCGGATACATCTAATTCGTAGAATCGAACTATCCTATGACCTCGGCTGAGTTTGGGTCGTTTCAATTCAGGCCGGTCACACGAAAGCGAGAGTGCGCGCTCTAAAAGAGATTAGGCATGTTTGATGTGCTGGTGAGATGTAGGTCAACAAAGTCCATTGACGAACTTGTCCCTTGAACCTGCCTCCCGAAGGATGCCGGCAACAAAATTGCCTCACAAACTAATTCACGTGTTCTGGACCTAACGTCAGCGCTTCATCACGAATCACCATTATCAAATCATCAAAACCGTCCGCCCGCTGGACGTTCTCATCCAGCTCGAAAGGGCAAAACGCAAAGTAATATAGATTTTTCGCGAACATCCGCCTCTCCGTGTTAAATCTGCGTCTTCAATATTTTTCATTTCTAGAAAAAATTAATTTTAATTTACATAATAATACATAATAAATTTTAATTAACATAATTTTTTAGTTTTTAGATAGTAAAACCGCTACATTTCGAAATAATGTACATAAGCTGGTTGAGCAATAGCTATTAATAGAGCGATAAACTAAATTCGAAGTTGGATATTACGACATGAAGCTTTGAAGGAATAAGCCGATTATCTCTCATCGCTTAAATTATAAAATCACTCGTCTGTCTTCTTTTCAGAGAGATAATTAAGCTAGAAAGTGAGGTAAAAAGTGCAATCAGCCACTTCATATACGAAATATTTGAAGTGCCTCGGGCGTTACGGACGTCGGACGACAAGGTCTCTTTAAAGATATTCTCTTCAAAAATTCGGGATAAACTTTGCCCAGCAAAAACAACCATTTTATTATTTCTTATATGAAGAAAAATTTTCTGCAGCGAAAACTTGAAATCATTACCTCTATTTTTCGTCGTAAATTTGTTCATAACGGAAAATTGATTACCGTTACACAACTATATAAAAAATATTACATTATTGTCTTTTTGTGATCTCTGATATAGCTTTGCATACTTGCTAACATGGGTCAATGAAGATCGTTATCGAACTTGTCTCTTGAACCTGCATGCCGATGTATGTCAGCAGGACAGCTCTATTATAATCGGATGCAGTCTGGGCGATTGGTGTGACGCACCTATACGTCCCAGTCGTCGTTTATCGCTAATCACGATTATTATCAAATCAGTTCGACCGATAGAAACTGACCTGGCAGAAACTGTCGTGACGCAGAGCACAGAATAAAATACAAAATATATAAATTCTAAAAATAAAATATATAAAAATAAAATATAATATAAAATAAAAAATACACACCTTGTCGTATTTTTACGTTTATGTATATTTCTATTCTTCGACAAGGTTGTGCAAAACGCAAAGCTCAAAATTCTCCGCAAATTCGAAATGCCGGAAATATGCACGGCAGTGCACAGTTGACGTCCAAGGATAATAAATGTGAAGGTACTGGATTCGAAATCCTCTTTTAATTAACGTAAGTAAAGATCTTAAAATTTATTAAGGTTGTCAACTCACAATCAGTACAATTTTCTAATCTCGATGTAATTGCGAACGCTTTCAGATTCCAATGCTTACTCTAAAAATAGATAAGGACATACAATTTGGGTACTCGCTTACATTATTTTCTCTATCTATGTGTGGAAACCAATTAGAAAAATCAAATATTTTTGATCATGTGCGTCCATTATCTTAACCATGATGTAAATACATCGTGATCTTAACTACTGTTATTGTAGCAAGCGTGTAAGCCTACGTGAGACAGATGTATCTCGCTTTCACCTCTTACCCTTTTTAAATTTGATCGAATATAAACAAAATTAACAAGATCTAAAGTAGCTAACAACTTCGTGTTTAAATATTTGCACCTTAAGCAAGAATTGTTCTGAAAAAAATTGGGAAAAAAATATATAAAAATATTCGACTAGGACTTTGATAAAAAATAATGCATAAAAGTAAAAGTAACGTGATTTTCAGCAGCAATCTTTATGTTTGTATAAATTCACTGTTTGCAGTGGACACGAGTCTTTATCTTTTACTGTCTAGCTATTAAAATATTGTATAAATGTGCTTTATCTTTACACAGTACTTTTTTATAATTTCTAGCATTGACAAGCAAAAGATAATTTATTTTAAAAAATTATTCGAGAACAATGATGATAATAAAAGTCTACGTTAATTTTTAAAGAAGTCAACTTTTACAAAAAATAAGAATTGGAGATCATTTAATTTTACTTTTAAATTTTTAATACACATGCACACACAGAGAGAGAAGGACAGAAAAAAAGGTAAAATTTAAATTTTAAAAACCTTTTTATATTTTTATATTTAAACAATGGTAAAAATCTAATTTGCTGCTAAATATATGTTCGGCAGCAAATTAAAATTAATGATTTCTTTATTTCACAATTTTTAATTCAGAATTAAATTTTATTAACTGCTGATATGTTCCGAAAAGTCTTCACAAGAAGCATTTCTTTTTTAATATAACTCAAAAATTAATAATAATTAGACATTTCACTGTATTTTCACGCGAGATAATAAAATGAAACAATTTGTAATTATAATCATCGAAAACTTACGTCGCTCACAAGGCAAATCACGTTCAAGACGCAATCACCGATATGTTACGGATTCGGAGATGATTGAGACAATCCGGAACCGGGAAACCCACAAATATAACTAAAAGAAGAAGACACGGGAAACCCAGCGAATGCGCGAGACCACCGGTGCAAGTCTAAACTGCGCACCCCCCGTAGCCTACTCCACGAGGTCTGCCAAGCTGATCGCACACTGCAGTCTGCAGTCTGCAGTGCGTAACGAACGAAGCAATAAGAAGGGTGTGTAGTTGTATTTTTGCAGCTCATGAAAATCATAATTTTGCCAGGACACCCTGGTTACATTAATGTCTAAAGAATTAAATTGTGAACTATTATTGCTGACAATTGACTTTTAAATTAATTAATTTAATATTTTAGATACTTTTTGATGAAAAAAATGAACTGAAGATGAGAAAAGAGATAACTTCTGATAGTTGCCGAATAAAAAATAAATTACCTTATAAAACGGCTCTAGCATAGAGAATGTAATAGATATATAGCGATGGTTGATACGTTGGAATAGCGTTATTGAACCAGAATGCCTAATGCCGCACCGTGGCAACCGGAACACGTCATTGCGTGAGGGTAGGCATTTGCATCACGCAAATTTTTTTAAATATTCTTTTAACAAGCTTCGGATTTTTGTATTTGAGCGATAAACGATGTTTTCAAAGTAAAACGTCAATATAACATTGAACGTGTTTTATCAAAACTGTATTTATAAAATATGAAAATCTTAAAATCAACGCGCAAAATTATATTTGTGAGTGAAACGTTATTACTCTCATAAGAAAAAAGTAACATTAATACACCTAAATTTTAATTTATAATCTTTTAATCCTTTAATATATTCAATAAGTCTTCTAATATAAAAAATAAAATATATTACGCATCGAAATTAAAGCACAAATTTAGTATTTAAAAAATGTGAAATTGTCAGATATTATGTTAGTGACGAAAAATAAAATCACCAAAGTAAAGATATATTTTATATATTTAACGTACGTACATTGAAATCTAGTGTTGACCTAGATCTTGTGAGGTGATGCAGACGCGCGCAAAGATATCAAAGATAAAACGTGCTGTCCGGAACCACGAATTCCGCTTGCTCTCTCCTCAGCAGTCACTATCAGACTGGTGGTTCGTACGAGACGTCAGAATACTAATATTCGCAGCCACGCATATACAAACGCGTATAACATGCGTGTTATACACGCATTAGGGGAGAATATAAATCATGTGATAGTGACTGTTTATGTGGAGCGCCTCACAATTGATTTTTTTTTTCATCGTATCAAAAGAGAGAAAAATTTGCCTGTATTTAAATAGTTCCGAGTAAAGAAATGATCCTTAGTATTATATTAATTTTGAGTCATATTATGTACGTATTCACGTCCTTTTGAAAATTTAATTTGTGAACAGTAAATCTAAATAATTTAATTATTGAAAGATATAATTGTCTTTTAACTTATCAGTACTCGCGAATGATATTTCACTCTTATTTACCGATATTTTTGACATCGCATACAGATTATTCAAGTTTTGTCAGGAAATCGAAGCGTAGTGGTGTTAAGTCAAACAATAATGAAATAATTATTTATATTCTTAGGTAAAAAATAAAATATATAAATAAAAAATATACATTATGTTTTTGTTTTAAAAAGTTTTATTGAATATCAAGATTCAACATACATGTATTATATGAAATCCGTATTCGCACTTCTTAAATCATCCATAACGTAGGTCAATTGGTAGGTCAATCAACGCTGATTCCTATCAATTTCTTTCGCAATTTTATTTAAGTTCAAATTTGTTATACGTCGTCAAGTAAAATGATAGAAAATCAAACATGCATTAGAATGACCTTAACTCTCCATTGCCCTCGTGTTGAACGAGCGCTAACATCACATCTTATTTCTTAAATTACATAGATGTAGCATAAAAATTGACTCTGAAACTTTTTGACTTTTTATTCACAACCTTTTAGATTATATTTGTATGATTATTTTCCAAAATTTCGTTAATATAAGTTTGATTAGACTTTGAAAGTGCTAACGTGTGATATATCTATGCGCTAATGTCAAGAGCAATTACTTATGAAAAGTTAACGCTCGGTCAGAGTTTAACAGATGTTAGAAATAGTGGCTCTTGATCTGAACAATATCGTACTAATACAGTGACAAACATACAAGCGGCGCAGGACTAACACGAGGACACTAACGTTCGTTTGATGAACGAGGTCAATGGAGGATTAATAGATCTATCGAACGAGTAATAAAGACATCAGATCTTATCGAGATCGCGAATAATATAAAGAGACGAATTCGCTTGGATTTTTATGGAATCCACTCCACCTCGTTGGTCTCCAATCTTTCGCCGTTCCTTATCGTAGAGTGGTTGTTTCGCTCTGTCGTTGACGCCGTCTCTTCTGTCCCGGCTATCTTGTGATAGACCTTGCTTCCGGCCTGTGAGATCCACTGGACGCCGTCGCCGATCTTCTCGCCCGCTTTGCGCACCACGTTGCCGAAGTTCTCAGAAGTGAAGGTGTTAGGGTCGATGTTGATGTCCAGAGTATTGTTGCCTTGCGGGCAGCCGGACTGCGAGATGATGCTCAAATCGAACGGATCGACGCCGTACTGGCTCAACCGCTGACGTATCTTATCCACCTGCGTCTGATCCAGCGTTCTGGTCCTCGAGAGAATCGTCGCGCTCTGCCGATGGGCGAACGCCAGCTTCTGACACGTGAATATGCCGGCGTAGCTGTCGTAATCCGTCATGAATATCACATGGGATGCGCTTCCGGCCACATCTAAAACACAGGTACGAATTTCAGTTGCACAACGTGATGACGCGACTTGCAATTTGTAAATTATCAAGCGAGAACGCATATTGTTTATCGCGAGACTGGTCGCGGCAAATTTATCGTCAATTTACTTAATATCTTATCATTGTAACAAATTGAGGAGGAAGCTGCAGCTATATCTGAACATTTAGCAGCTATATATCTATACATTTTGCAGGCAGAGCTTAACTTTTAATTGGGTCTTGCTACGCAACATACAGAATTTTTGTCTGTCATATTCTTTCATTTCTACAAAATAAACGGTGTCTCTTCCGTTTTTAAATATTATGATGTTGACTTGAGTTGAAGGCACTTACTGAGAGGAAAACGGACCTCCATACGTCCTGGAGTACTTGGTTCAGGTACACTCAGTTGGCCAGTATAATGATACTCGTGCTTCAATGGCGTAAGACCTGTACATATGCATCACACAATTACGGATAATTCATCCCACTTGCTGGACATTTATCCCATTGACAAGCTTTTATGACTCGATGGAGCCCGATACGCACTTCGTAGAAGCTCACGTATCGTCTCCTTTCTTCACCAATTGCGCTTACTGTTTTTCAATTGTCTCACCTAAGATTAGATGGTCCGAATCCTGCGTTATCACGTACTCGCCCGGTTCCTCTCCTCGCGTGTAATTGTAAGTAATGCACTTGCTACCCGTCGACGTTTTTTGGATAACATACCACAGGCCCAGGAACTAAAATTTAGAAAAAAACCGATATTATTTCTGAAATAAATTAATTTGATTGTATGTGTAAGAGAAAATATTTTCACAAATTATTACAGAGGTATCTTTTGCCTAATAAAGGTAAAAATATCTCGCATAACATTCCTCTATTAAATATGAATTTCTTTACTTACTTGGTTCATCCGGAAGTCCTGCATAGGTTGCACAATGGGACAAGCACCCATGTGATACGTATGAGCCTGAGCAAAAGCGAGGCATCCCGCCAATACCAAACACCAGGTCAAAGATTGCATCTTCTAGAAAAAAAAAAGATAAAAATAAACATCGTTTAAGCGATTTAAATTCTCAGAAGATTGCTATATCAGGTTTTCCCACACACAAACTTGATATAAATTATCAACATCAAGTAGTTGTTTATGCATTTCTTATCTTTGATAAAAGAATTGCTTATTAAACGTTTATTACAATCATCCTAGGTCTTCTAATTATTATAATAGTAATGATGATATAGAAAATAACATGGAATAAAAGTTTTATGAAAGAGCATCATCTATATGTATACTGGACATGAATAGTGAGCGATACAAATCGAATGTATGTTGTTTCCGACGCAATTACAAAGATTTTATTACAGACGGAAGTGGTGACGTCACGCTTTTTTCAATATTTCAATGCAACTTCCTGGTATGCGTAACAATCGCATTCCTAGATATATATGCACCTCGCTCTTGTCGATAGCAAACATAGATAGGATTCTTCGACAAGTACACAGCCAAATCTCGGATTAGATATCATGGATTTTTCAACAAATTTAATACACAGCCCATGATCTCGGATTCCTCAAGTACAACCGGAGCATGATTCACGCTCGCCTTGGACACGCGTCACGAAGCAAGGACCTCCGATTTGCGTTTCCGATGTTACTAAGCTGGCTGTTACACGTCTTCATCTCTTTCTTTCATATTCTACACGATAATAAATGTGCGGTGATGAGTGATGACCGATGAATGCACGATTAGGATCGACCCGTCGCGACCTTTCACTCCGCTCAGAGAACATTTTCATTCCGTGTGCGCACTAACGTAAATCAATTAGTGTCTTTTACGCTTGCGGGCAGCTCTTTTGTTACAGACGCAAAATCAGGATTTATTTCTTGAAAGAAGTAACGCTCATTTATAATCACTGTCGCTTTCTTTTGCCCCATACGGGAGAGATAACAGACGTCTTTTTTTTTTCGAATATGTATGCGGAGAGCGACGAGCACGAGCTAAAGTGAACGAATAGAAATTTAAATAAAGTCACAATTTCGTTGTAGAAATGCTTACGTGATAAATGAGATGAATGATTAACGTGTCAGAAGAAGAGATGTTAAAACCACGAGCTCAAAAGTGTACTCACTATGGAGGTTGCTGCTGCCGATCTCTGCGTTTGCACTATAAACACAAGTTCCACTGGAGAGATGGACCTTTATGTGGCTGGTGCCCCACTCTCGGAATACAACCCACAATTACAGGTCACACACACACATCCACCGAGACACATAACACGAACGAGAATCGAGATACAAAATGTCTCGCTGTTTTTCTCTGTAAAACGGTTTGCAGTGATTCATCTTTATTTTTTATAATAAATTTACTATCTCATACATTTGCACATCGTTTTTTTAACGTGAGATTATCATAATTATCACTGACGTTGGATTACGTCCAATAAGCACGATGACGCATTCAAGTACACATGATCATATAATACTAAAATGCTTTCTGAGAATTACTAATTCCCCATATATGGCATACGTAGATTCTCCCTCTTTTCTCAGAAACGAATGTGATTTGAAGTGAGCTCTATATGACAATATATAGGTAACGAATAATTTAATGGAATAATTTTTATTCTTTTATATAATCGATTTGTACAAAATGTTGCCGATAAAAAATTATTTATTTATGTAAGATACAAAATTTTTGCATTAAACGTACTTAGATTAATGCGACCAACGCTCACAGTATGTAAATTTTCTGCAGGTTCCATAGAGTATAGTAGATTCTATAGTAGCTAGTTATAAATTACTAATCTCGTCTCCTATTAATAACCAATTTGTGATTGTTTTAGACAAATGTTCTAGATCAGAGAATAAGGCACAAAGATGATCAGGGTTTTTGGCTTATATGACAACATTATGTAAAATTGAATTATTTTTAAATTGGTTCCTTTAAAGTAATGCGTATAGGAGACTGTATATCATATCGTGTAGCAAAAGTGAATTTAAACGTAAGAGTAAATTAAACGTAAGTAAAATATAATGTTTGAGTAGTAATATTAACATTTATCGAGCGAGGCTCGATAAAATGTTAAACATAGGAAAATATATGGAATTGATAACATCATTGATTAAAATAATTATGAATGAAATACTGGATAAACTTACTTAAATGAAATACATTACGTGAAATACTGTTACTATATTCCGGCAGTAACTTATGTGTCTGCATGAAATTTATGTAATTTAAAAAACTATACGCTTACTCGCATACAAAATAAGTTCCACTAAGAAAATACAAAGTAAACTTCAATCGATATAATGATTAAACAAAATGAAGAACATTTACTCAAATAAATTAACTTTCAGTACACCTTAAGACATACTTTTCACGTAGTGACACGATTAAAAATGCAAAATTCTGCTTCCTTCTCCCCGAGTGGCTCCTATGTTTTAGCGACGGGTAATTTGCTTGTATCCAAATTGCCGAAGTAGGGATGTTTCAATGCCGCCCGTGCGGATATTCTGTACACAGGATCGTACGTGAGCATAGCTTGCAACAGATCCAATCCATCCGCATCTAACGTCTTCACTTGCGACTCCAAGTTATTCGTCATCCAATTGGGGAATGTCGCTTTATAATCTGACAATTGCGTTACGCCTGGCCATATCTCTTCTGTAGGCGTTCTTAGTATTCTGCAGGACAAAATAATCATTAAACGATCCGAGAAATATTTCTATAATAACGTATATAAATAACGTATAAAAAAATCTTACCGGAATATCCTGAAAAGCTGATCAATCTCGCTGTCTCCCTGGAACAATGGTTTCTTAGTCGCCATCTCAGCAAAGATACATCCGATACTCCACATATCAATCGCGCACGAATATCTAGTAGCACCGAGAAGGATTTCAGGTGCCCTGTACCACAGAGTTACAACTTCGTGTGTGTATATTCTGACTGGGATTCCGAATGCTCTCCCAAGTCCGAAGTCTGCTACTTTGATAATTCCGGTTTTATCGATCAGCAAATTCTGTGGCTTTAAATCGCGATGCAGTATTCTACGCTTGTGACAGAAGAGAATTGCACGTGTGATCTGAAATGGTAAGCAACTGTATTGGCACACGATCGATCTCGATAAAAGCGATTTAGGCTGCAGTCCACTTGACGCTACAAATGCTTCGAAGTATTCCTCTTCTTTTTTCTTTCAATGAAGAAAGAAGGAGAAGAAGAACGCTCCAAAGAATTTGTAGCGTCAAGGTGACCACAGCCTTAAGCATGTAAAACAATATAAAAGCTAATGTAATATTATCACGAGACAAAATATATAAACAAACCTGATATAAATATGATTTAACTATAGCTGGCTCCAGCAGTTTATTGCCCAAACTATCCATGTATTTTTTCAGATCCATAGTGAGATACTCAAAAATAAGATATAGTTTTGACTCCTCCATTAACACATCGATCAAGTTCACTATGTTTGGATGGGATAATTCTTTGAGCAATGAAATTTCCCTAATGGCAGTTGACGGTATTCCTTCGTCATCGCCTTCTAAACGAATCTTCTTCATGGCTACAATTTCTCCGGTCTTCTTGTGTTTTCCTTTGTACACTACTCCATACGTTCCTAAAAGACATCAAAGATTTTACAACAATTGCTTTAAACTCTATGTCATGTTTACGTTTAGTGACTGAAATATTTTATGGGATTTATATATAGCTAAAATTCAACGCAACCTTGTAAAATAGATAATATAATTAACACTGCGCAAACCGATTTTTCATTTATGATTCCCACGGGAATGGGAACAAAAATTGCAACAGTTCTGGCCTATGTAAGTACAGAAATAATTTTTTGAAACCTTAAAAATAATACATAAATTTTTATAAATTTTTTTGTAACATAAAAATGCTTTCAAACACCCTTTGGACTTAAAAGTTCTGGGATGTCCAGGTGAGTGCTCCAAAAACACGGTGTCTGCACAGTGTTTTTGAAGCACTCACCCGGACAGTGACGCAGTGTTAATTACTAATTAAGACATACCGCACTGACTATTCAACAATGACAATTCTCTGTCTTTGGCAAGGATATTGTACATAAATACTTGGACATAACGTGTACAATTTGCAATATTTCAAGCACGTTATGAAAAAAGGGACAGAAATTTTCCATTCGTAACACATACAGTGCTTCGGCAGCAGAGTAATTGCTGCCCAAGAAATGCTCAGCAAACATTTATTAATTATTATCACGTGATGCAGCGTGCGTGATGGAACAACAGCTTGGCAACAACAGGTTCTCGTACTTTCCGTGCTCACTCACCTTCGCCGATTTTCTCTATTTTTATGAAGTTATCCATCGTGCGTGGCCGAGAGAACACGATTGTCGGTTCAACAACAGTCGCCGAGGTTTCACGGAATCCTACCCACGCAATTCGACCGGAGATCCAGCTCTCGTCTCACACGAGCCACGCCGTGTGTCGCCAATCACCTAACGAACAAATTCAAATCAAACGTTGACACGCCATATTGGTAAACACAATTGAGAATGCGCGCTGGCGCCCTCCCATGCCACGGCGTGCCACAGCTGTCGCCGCTGTCGGCTCGCTTACTGCGTACTTCCGCTTTACTACCAATGGCGCGTTTTCTGAACGTCACATTTATCCGCGAATATTGAACTCCAAAAATTCTTAGCAAGATCGAAAATTCGTTATCAAATAAGAACTGCTATAATAATTACATTAATTCTTACGCTCAAGCAAATCTAATTATATTCTTCTGAAAAGATTTAAAAAAATTTTATTTCATAACAGCTGAGAATTATAACTGAAATAATTTATTCTTGTTTATATAGATACCTATATAAAAATTTAGGGCAGGATTGGAGACGGTGAGAAGAGAAATCTCGTTTCTAGATAAATAACGCATTCGTTTTTTTTTTTTATAATCTTAATAAATTTATTTGTAGTGCTTACAACGAGCAAATACATAACTTCATTGCAATCGTATGGTGAACTCGAAACCTGGATTAGTTGCAATTAGCTATCGTCCTTATGACTCGCAGGAAAGACTTAGAAATAACGCGATTCCGGTCTGAAAAGACCGAAACGACATAAGGTCGCTTTTAACTGGCGAACGTAACTCGAGCTGTATATCAATG